ACAGATATGAAGAAAGAGATGCCACAAATGGGCTGATAGACTGGAGACATGGAGGGAGCAGAGGCTGGCAAGCAGAGCTGTGGGATATGTACTTCTGTGGAAGAGGGCACATCCACTGGTCTGGGGGAAGAGCCACAGCTCCTCCTATGGAAGCCCCCAGCTCTACCTACTTTTTGCCTCCTCTTTCTCTATCCATTCCTTACATACTGGAATGACCTGAAGGTCTGTCCTCAGCTTCTATCTGTCCCCTCGTCCCTGGAGTCCTCATTCACACCCATGGCCTAACTCTCACCTACTCATGTCCAATCCAGTCCAGCTCTGGATTTCTTTCTCCAAGTGTCCCCTGAGTACCACTGACTGGATTCTGCAAACCCCTCAACAATGCAAAGATGCAAAGCTGAACTCATCTCCTGAAATGAGCTCCTGCTTCTCTGCATCCCCTCTCTAGTGACTGGGAACATTATTTGTCCACCCAGCTGCCCAAGTGGTAAAGCAAAGTCACCTTTGACTCCTCCCTCTCCCCAGATTCAATCAGCTTTAATAACACAACCTACCAGAATACACATCTTTAGAATCTTTCTATCTTCTATCTTCTCTCATCAGCCCACCAGACTCTGTTCTCTCTGCCATGCCTATGACTGCCCTCTTGCCTCCATCTCAATCTGTTTGTCCATTAGAATGTCCTGGGGTGGGAGGATGAGGGGGCTTTAAAAATACACATTTCTTAAAACAAAAAAATAACAGGTTTCTGACACTCATGCTAGCTCTTCTGAATCTGACCCTCTGGGAAGAGGACCCAAGAAAGTGTACATTCAGAAACACCGTGACTGATTTTTTTTTTCAGCGGAGACAGGAACAGCATTTGAGAACCACTATTCTATGACCAAGAGTAACCCCTCCTCTTCCCTCCCACAGCAGTGAGAAGCACGCCTGCCCTGGGTCCCAGATCCTCACTTCCTACAGTTCCTCACAACTCAGCCCTATCACTCATTCCTGTCTGTATTTTCAACCACATCCTTCCCATGGTTTTTCCCAACACCTTTTTAAACAAGCTAAGCCTCCTCTCAACTTAAACAAACTCTCCCTTACACCTGCGGCCACCTCTAAGCACAATTCCCTCTCGATTCTCATAACCGAGATTTTGAAAGTGCTTTCCAAGCTCACTGTCTCCACCTATGTCCTACTCATTCCTCAGCCAATTATAATCTGACTTCTCTCCCCAACTATTGGACAAGCTATTCCAGAAAAGTTCTGGGCTGGCGGACTCTTTCTTTCCCACAGGCCACTCTTCAGGCCTGTTTGGAAAATCTCTGCAGTGTATAATGCTATCAGCCACTCTCCCCTGAAATTCTCTCCTCCCGGATGTCTCCTTACTTCCTTAGCCATTCCTCAGTCTTCTTCCCTGGCACCTGCTTTTTTCCCCACTTTAAAGTTTGAAATGTTCACAAATTCTGTCACCAGTTCTTGTCTCACCTTCCACTATCCTCTTAAAGACTTCACCACACACCTCTTAGGAATAGCTCACTCCAGTCATAACCATCCCTAATTCATTCCCTCCTGCCTCTTTGCCAAGCCCTGTCCAGGTTCTGTCCCTCTGAGGCCTTCTCCACCCTATGATGCCTGCCAAACTCTCAAAAGTCAGCCCAAATATTGCTACATTGGGAAGTCTTCCTCAACTGCCCCCTACTTCCACAACCAGCCCACCCCCTGCAATAAACCCATAGCACCGAGCACAGATATTCTTTTTAAAACAGTTTTGCACAATAGACACTGAACTCCTCGAGGGCGGGAATTTTTCTGGAAAATATTAGACATGCAATTAATGTTGGCTGCATCCATCATTACACAGCGAACATACTGTGGGGTGAACTAGAGTATATTAATAAATGATATACATGTTACACAATGTAGAGCTGAGTGACAGCATTGGTCAATAAGCAAGGAATCTAAAGTGAGTAATGACCACTAATCCTATGCACTTTTACCTGCTCATAATTGCATAACTGGGCAGACAGCAATATAGTTTCAAGCACTTGAAATAGGCACAGCAGAGTGTTTTCAACTGTACTGTGTCTGAAACTGTACTGCTGTCCCTTTCTTCAAAATGAAGAGTTTTCAACAAACTGATATGGTTGGCTCCTTCACACCATTTGGGTCTCAGTACAAATGTCACCTTCCTGGCTACTCTCTGTGACCATGCATGCTAAAGTGGTCCTCCACCATAACTTCGGTCTTCACAGTTCACCTCTCATTGTCTTCATGTTACTTATCACTATGTGAATCATACTGACTTGTTAGCCTACTTGATGCTGGTCACCTTTGTCCTGCTCATTACTTTATCCTCTCTATATCAACAGTGTGTGTCTGATATGCATACTCAACAGGCACTCGCTGAATGGATGAGAGAGAAAAGCAAGTTTAACACTGAAACACTATTATCTAATAACCACAAAACATGAGAAACATGCAGGTAGTAGGAAATAGCAGGGATTTCTCCCTGGAAAGGGACTGTTATTCACCACCTATGGGGGGCGCACACAGATCATCCTTCTTTCAGATTCTTACTCAGGATCTGAATTTTGATTTACTAAAGGGTCCCTCAATTTATCTAAAGGAAATCAAGGGTGGCTCATGCCTGTAATCCCAGCACTTTGGGAGGCATAGGCAGAGGATCACTTGAGGTCAGGAGGTCAAGACCATGCTGGCCAACATGGTGAAACACTGTCTCTACTAAAAATACAAAAATCAGCCGGGTTTGATGTCAGGCGCCCTGTAATCCCAGCTACTTGGGAGGCTGAGGCACGAGAATCACTTGAACTCCGGTGGCAGTGGTTGCAATGAGCCGAGATCTGCCACTGCACTCCAGCCTGGGTGACAGAGCAAGATTCCATCTCAATAAATAAATAAAAAGAATAAAATAAAGGAAATCCCCCTCAGTGGGTAGCTTCTTCAGAGAAAAAAATTTTAAGCTGACGCACGGCCTTTTCTTATGACCAGTCCTGGAAAACTATGCCTAAATTTCACTGTCAGCACCACATGCACTGAGACCAGGAACTGTTCATTGCTGCGTTCCCGGCACCTAGCCCACTTCATGGTCCAGAGAAGATGCCCAAAATGTTTGTAGAAAGAGCATGTAAGACACAGTCTTCTGAGGAACTGCCATCCCAACAACTCTTTTTTTGAGTCAGAGTTTAGTTCTTCCTGCCCAGGCTGGAGTGCAACGGTGTGATCTCGGCCCACTGCAACCTCCACCTCCCGGATTCAAGCAATTCTCCTGCCTCAGCCTCCCAAGTAGCTGGGATTACAGGTGTGCACCACCACGCCCACCTAATTTTGTATTTTTAGTAGAGATGGGGCTTCTCCATTTTGGTCAGGCTGGTCTCGAACTCCTGACCTCAGGTGATCTGCCCACCTTGGCCTCCCCAAGTGTTGGAATTACAGGCGTGAGCCACTGAGACCAACCCCAACAACTCTTACACTGCAGAAGCACTTAATTTTAGAAACAGGCCAAGACAGCTGCAGAGGGGATCCAGGCCTAGGCCTCTCCCTGGACAACAATTTGTTTCCTAAAATTCAACACTCACCACCATGTGCCATAGATAATTACCTTCCCCACAGTCACCCTGTATCAACTTTGAATACACATGGCCAATATAATCTCATAGCTAGTACAGTACAGCAACCAATAACAGACTCCCCTTTTAATTTTTTATATGTACTTTGGCCAGCAAGGATAGATCAAAATGCTAAAAGAACAACTGAAATTGAAGAATTCTACCACAAATTTCCTAACCACCAGTTCCTGGCTCACTGTGTGATCCCAGGGCAACCATACCACCTTTTTGAACTGTCACCTTCAACTACAGTAATAAGGTTCTTTTTCTAAAGGGTTATTTGGGGAAGATCAACTCGTTAGTAGAGGTAACATACTCTGGGACCAACACATGAAAGATGCCATGAATCAAATTAATTATGAAACAAAGGAAATCATAAATATTGAAACTACTTCAAAACCTGAGAAGTTGAGAAGTGAGGAAAATTTAAAATTATGCCTGTGGCTCTGATACTAACTTACTGTTAAGACTATAAGACAAGACAGGTATTCTCAGAAGACTCATGACATTCCCAACAGATCTTTAGTATTTGGAAATGTCAGATGTTTCTGTCCTCCAGCAGCATTAACTTCACATGGAGTATGAACAGTGACATATGGAAATTGCAAAATTAGAGCTGTTTTCCGCTGCTGTACCCGTGCCTAACTGTTAACACGCAGTCTACCTCACCGAAAGTCAATTCCACACACTCTGGGTCAGAGAAAAGTCGTTCAACTGGCTGTAAAAATACTTCTCCGCCCCCTACCTGCTGCCCCCCCCCACCGCCCCCCGCCCCGGCTAACACGCCAGGAAAACAGCAATAACCAGCAGCACAGCTGCGCTCCCACGCCACGACTTCCTAACTTCCCTCCACTTGTAAGCACTCTCATCAGTGTTTGTTTGTCTAAAAACTCTTCTTGGGGCCTGGAGCAGAAACACATCCAAGTGAAACTGAGAGGTCAGCTTCCAAAGCGGAGGCTAAACTTTGCAGGTGGGGGCGGGGGGGACAGTCAGTTCCGTCCCCTGGGAGCTTAAATGAATGGGGCAAGGTGAGGGGGGCGGCCCCTTCCTTCAGCGCTGCACTGGCGCCGCGAAGGGCCTGGGGCCGGCCCACGCAAACACCAGGGCACTAGCCCACTGGCAGCGGCCCCAAGAGACTCCTGACCACTGCACCTGGGGACACCAGGTAGGGTCGGGGCCGGCGGTCCCCATTCGCCCCTCCAGGCCGACGTGAGGGCGGTTTCCGCTGACCCCCTAGGCCAGGAACTAGCAGGGTTCGGCCGCGGGTCTGGAGGGTCGGCCCCACCACCTCCGGCAAACCCGAGGGTCCCCGCTGCCAGAGCCTCCTCAAGGAGGTGCCCAGGTTGGCGTGTAGGGGCAGCCAGGACGGCGGCGGCCAGTACTCACAGAGCCCACTGGAGCCGGTGCTGGTGAACATGGTCCCGCCGGGCTCGGAGCCCCCGCGGGGACCAGGGGGAGGGGAAGCTGAGGTGGGAGCCCCGGCGACCGCGCAGGCGCACTCACGGCGGGGCGGCGAATCCGGCGCCGCGAGGCCACTCGCCGTTGACGAATAACGCATGCGCAGCCAGGGGCGTGCGCCCCCTGGGTCAGCGCCCTTCTTCCTGCCGGGAAAGGGAAGTGCGTCCGGAGGGGAGGGGCCAGCTCTTCAGGTAGGAACGATTGCCAGAGCTGCCTGAGGTAAAAAGGGATGGCACTCGGGCAGCGGAGGTGTAGTTCCTGGGAGCCTCACGTTTGTGTCCAGTGCCACCTTACCTCTGGTAGTTACGCAGAAAGCTGCGGATTCCTCTGGATTGCCGGCTGTGGGCATGAGCGCAGCCTCAAACCTCTCCCGAGACTGGACGCCCGGCGCCTTCCGCGCGCGTTCTGTCTTTCCGGGCCGTCCCTTGAAGCTGGCTCCCCGCGGGCTTTTGACTGCAGTGGGGTCTGTCTCGGGTTCCGGTGTCCAGCGGAGTCTGAGAGGTCACGCAGATGCAGATGGAGGGGTGCGGGAGCCGGAGAGGTGGAACAGGTTCTTCCGGATACCGAGAGCCTGGCGGTCCAGCCGCCTTTGCTCCCTCGTGGGTCCCGCGCGGAATCCACACCACCGGAGCCGAGTGTCGTGGGCCCGGGAGTCAGCACCCTGCCCCCCCCTGTGCTGGGGGTCCCAGGCGCCGCGAGCCCGGCAGAGCGACCCTGCACTTGTGCCCCGCGAGCTTCCAGACTCAAGCCATTTAATATTTTTACCCCAGCAGAATGACTTACTCTTTACCAAAGTCGCGGTTTTTAAATGACCGTTAGCCTGAAAACATGCAGTCGTCTTAAAAAGCTTTTTTAAGTTGATCTCATAAAAAAGGGTAAAAGAGTGGTTACTCTTTTACAGAGGAGAGTTAGTGCGGAGGGAGATGGGGAGAGCTTGGTCAGCAGGTACAAAGTTACAGTTAGAAGGAATATGTTTTGGTGTACTCTTGCACATTTGGATGACTATACTCATCAATAATGACTCAAAATAGCTAAAGAAGAGGATGTTGGATGTTCTCACCACAAAGAAATGACAAGTGTTTCATTGATGGATGTGCTAATTACCCTGATTAGATGGTTACACAAAGTTTGTATGTATGGAAACAGCACGGCTGTACCCCAGAAATACATACAATTATGTGAGAATGCATATTATGGGGAAACTGACTGCACCACCGAGCTAACTGAAAGGGATAGGCTGTGGGGTACTTAAAACAAACAAACAAACAACTTTGAGCTCGTAAGTGCCAGCCAGTGCTAAAACTGAGATTTGTAGATCAACACAGCCCCTGCCCTCAAAGAGAGGTTCCAGGGGGCCAAATGTTAACGTTCATTATTTTTAGAAGGCAAAAGTATGCCTTTTATTTGCTTCTTTAGGCCTTGTTTGTAAAGTTCATTTTCACAGTCTTTTTTATTTGTTTGTTTTTAGACGGAGTCTCACTCTGTCTCCCGGGCTGGAGTGCAGTGGCACAGTCTGGGCTCACTGCAACCTCTGCCTCCTGGGTTCAAGCGATTCTCCTGTCTCAGCCTCCCAAGTAGCTGGGACTACAGGCGCCTGACACCATGCCCGGCTAATTTTTGTATTTTAAGTAGAGACAAGGTTTCACCATGTTGATCACCATGGTCTCGAACTCCTAACCTCATGTGATCTGCCTGCCTCAGCCTCCCAAGTGTTGGAATTATAGGTTTGAGCCACTGTGCCCAGCCCTTTCCACAGTCTTGAAGTACGTTTTACATTTACCTTTAGGTTTGTTCGAGTTATTTTTCAGGAAAACAACAGTCAAAACATCCTTTATGGTTTGCAGAAGCTGTTGATTGGCTACACCCTGACCCATTAAGGTGAAGCAAAGTCCAGAACTGTTTTCATAATAATGCTAAGACATTATTTTTATTTTCTACTCTTACAAGTGTAGGGCTGTTGGCCCCACAGGGTTGTGGGGTATTCCTTATGCTGTGCTGAGATGCAGGGTCTGAGAAGTAAACAGACAGGACACTGAAGAACTGGAGATGAGCAACTGGCCTTCAGGGGCCATGCCACCTATGAGCGGAGACAGGTGAGGCCTCGAATGTCCAGAAATGTCTGTATTTATTGGGTACAAGGCAGGGGGAAGGACCGTGAGTTAGGTCATCTGTAGGCTTAATGATAGGGCATACATAATCACGTAACAGGCCAGGGGCCACCCCATTATGTCACCTAGGCAGAGAGGTGGGCCTGCGCAGTAGGGGGCCGTGCTGTGTGCAGCAGTAGTAGAGGGTCATGAACAGAAAAGGGGTCTACCCCCATTAGGTCACCGAGGCATGGAGGTAGGCTCTGTGCAACAGGTGTTGTGTGCAACACTTCTTATCTGGGGCCTGGAGACTTCAAAGGATTCTTACAGAAAAACACTGTAAACCAGTGCAGTGGGAGGTGACGGACTTGTGCTGTTTTCTAAGATATTTATGGGAGGATGATTGGAGCTAGCGCAGAAGTGAGAAAAAGCTGACAGGGCGTACAGCTGCTGTGACCTGGTCATACCAGAGGAGTTCTTTTCCCTCAGTTACTTGCGGGATCTCAGGCCTGAGGCCTATTTTCCACAGGAACTGGATGCAAGTACTACAACTCCTTATTCAGGAGAGGCTCTTGCTCCAAACCTTCCATACAGCATATGCTCTTTCAGGCAGGGACACCACCACCTGGCTCTTTGGTTCTTGTCCTGGTCTGGCTGTTTTCCCATGTACTGCTTCTGCTTTGTGACTGCTCTAGGCATTCCTACTAGTACAAACTGCTATATAGTTATATAGAAGGATCATATAAATCAGTACTAAATGTGTTGGTACAGCTCTGACTACAATACCTGTATGATTGTATAGAAAGATTATATGGGACTAAGTATGCTAGATGTAAGTACTAAGTATGATTATATAAGCTAGATATATGTAAGCAGTAAGTTATACTTCAGGCACTAATTCTGTAAACCAATGTATGATTATATGTAAAAGATTATATAAAGGAAATAACTGAGTAATAATGCTATAAACTAAGATATTCTTCAGGCACTAATTATGCCTGGCGTTTGCACAGCTCTCTTTCCTTGGTGCCCATGTGAGAGGTTACCCCCACACAAGTATAGAGTTTTCCACTGTGCAGTTGGAAGAGCTACATAACTGGATTTTCCAGTTGACTGCTGTATAATGTTATGAAATCTTATATGGGTAAAAGATCAATTTGAACCGTAAAATAAACCAATAAACTTTAATGTAAGAGTCTAAAATATTCATTCCTACGGTTTCAGATTCCTCATTGCAGCTAACCTTTAAGAAACTACCACTTGCTAAGTTATGGTGTAGTATCAAAAAATAATGTATCACCCGAAAGGCTATTAAAATGCTTCTTTTTCCAGCCACTGGGTGTATCTATGTGAGGCCAGGTTTTCCTCTTATGCTTCAACCAAAGCAATGTGTTGCAACAAACTGAAAAGCAGACATTAAAGACATTTGCCCACCAGATACAGTTCTGTAATTCTGGCACTTTGGGAGGTATCCCAGGTAATTTGTGTGCACCTTAAAGTCTGAGATGCCCTAGTGTAGTGATTCTCGGGGGGACAGTTTTGACTTCCAGGGGGCAATATATGTAGACATTTTTGGACATCACAATGTGGTGGGGGGATGCTGTTGATATCTAATGGGCTAAGGCCAGGGTGCTGCTAAACATCCAACAATACCAGGCCAACCTCTCCCTGGCCCCTCCCACAGTAAAGAATTACCCCACCTGGATTGTCAGTAGTGCAGAAGTGGAGGAAACCCTACACCGTGTAATTCATCTGACCTTTACTATGAAGTTCCTGAAACTCCTGGTGTATATCATTTCTGTTGCCCTGGCTGATATTTCCACCTTTTCTCTTTTTTTAGATTTTATTATGAAGAACTCATTCTGTTGATCCCTAGGAATCACCTATTCCCTTGCTGTTTTGCTGAATCTGTTTTTGAATCTGCTTTCTACATTGGGAAGGTAGGAGTATGTTTGTAAGCCTTAGAACAGGCGTCCCCAAACTGCGGCCTGTGGGCTGCATGCGGCCCCCTGAGGCCATTTATCCAGCACCCCCCGCCGCACTTCAGGAAGGGGCACCTCTTTCATTGGTGGTCAGTGAGAGGAGCACAGTATGTGGCGGCCCTCCAACAGTCTGAGGGACAGTGAACTGGTCCCCTGTGTAAAAAGTTTGGGGACGCCTGCCTTAGAAGCTATGTACACTATGAAAAAATCACCAGACACTTGGATAAGCTTTGCAGAGGTGAAGGGCTGTCTCCACCATAGAGACCCAGAAGGAGTCAGAGTAAGCCAGACTCATGAGGTCAGGTATCACCAATCCACAGCCAGCTTCCACAGTTCGTCTTTCTAGGTAACAGCTCGGCCTTCCCAGGTAGAGTAGGAATAATATCAGAACAACTTACAGCATATTTTGAGGTCAAATTTATAGAATTTGGTGATTTCATTTTTATTATTACCCTTTTATTTACAACCAAATTAATAAGGCTACCTACACATAACAATGTGTGGACATATGCATTAAAAGAATCATTTGCTGCCTAGCATTCCTATGTTGGTACTTTAAGAACATCATTGAGTGGATAAGTTACCCACTCCCTCTGCTGGGTAAACTATTTTGCCACAATATCAGCTGAAATGGTACCTCTTCCAGACTGTAATGGCAGAAGTGGTTATCCGCTCTTCTGTGCTGACATCACACTTGATGTATACCTACTTTATAAAACTTACACCATTATCTCAATTATTGGGTTTCTGTCTTCTACTGTGAAAGAGTGAGCCCATAAAAAATGGAATGTGTTTTGCAAAATGTTGTATCCTGCTCATTTTGATGTGAAGCCATTGACTTCCTTTAAAAAACAGCATTTCAGGCCAGGTGCGGTGGCTCACACCTGTAATCCCAGCACTTCGGGAGGCCAAGATGGGTGGATCATGAGGTCAAGATATTGAGACCATCCTGGTCAACATGGTGAAACCCCGTCTCTACTAAAAATACAAAAAATAGCTGGTCATGGTGGCGCACGCTTGTAGTCCCAGCTACTCGGGAGGCTGAGGCAGGAGAATTGCTTGAACTCAGGAGACAGAGGTTGCGGTGAGCTGAGATTGTGCCATTGCACTCCAGCCTGGGTAACAAGAGCGAAACTCCATCTCAAAAAAATAAAATTAAATTAAATAAATAAATAACAGAATTTCTGAGGTCTTCACATCAGGAAAATCTCCAGGTGGGTAAGGTTAAAGAAAAAAATGATTCATGACACTTGTTCAAGATGGTGCATCAAGATGGTACATTAGTCTGTTCTCACACTGCTATAAATATCCGAGACTGGGTAATTTATAAAAGAAAGAGATTTAATTGATTCACAGTTCTACCTGGCTGGGGAAGCCTCAAGAAATTTAAAATTATGGCAGAAGGGAATCAGACACATCCTTCACAAGGTGGAAGGAGAGAGAAATGCCAAGTGAAGGGGGAAGAGCCCCTTATAAAACTATCAGATCTTGTGAAAACTCATAAACTGTCATGGGAACAACATGGGGAAACCACCCCCATGATCCAGACACCTCCCACCAGTTCTCTCCCTAGACTGATGAGGATTGTGGGGATTACAATTCAAGGTGAGATTTGGATGGGGACACAGCCAAACCATATCAGATGGTAAGGCAGACTTTGTTCAGGGGGCCATGGTGATAGGTAGAGGGGCACTGCAGGGCCATGCAGTGGGGAGAGATTGAACGCAACACCAACTTTACCAAGGACATATGGAGATTTATATTCAAGGAGCAAGGTGGAAAGCATGCATGGAAAATTACTAAGAGAAAGCAACAAGGATAAGGCGGTTTCTGTCTGAACAGACCTAATAGGATTCCTGCTGAAGTTGGGCCAGGGTGATCAGTTATCAAAGGTGGTCAACCAAGAGTAGGAGCTTTTCACTAGACCCACTTAGCAGGATTCCTGCTGACACTGGGTTCTGTAAGGACAGAAAGGGATGTTCAAAGTGGCACCTACTCAAGCAGAAGATTCAAAGACACCTGACTGGAGTTTTGGTCAAAGAAGAGAGTCTTTTTCAGGCAGGAGGGAAGACTGTTGGCCATGCATCCCTGACAACCACCTTCCCCTTGCTTTCACCTGCCTTTAGTACGGTGCTCCTTTTGAATAGCTGAGATAGACCAGAATTCTTCCAAAAAATTACTAAGTAGTGGAGAGGGCCAAAAACAACAAACAAGAATCACAAACTTCCAAAGTATCAAGTTGTGTACAAATGGTATCTACTATGCCCCCAGCGTAGAGATGATACCATGTCCCACTTTGTGGCTGAGGAATCCCTCTCCAAATCTCCAGAGATTCTCGGCAATAGCCTTCTGGGGAAATTAGTAGATAATGATTAGGGTTGGTGGTCAGTCCTTGGATAAAATAGGCTTCAGATGCATTTTGGACTGCTTCAAATGCACTTTCAAAATATAATATATAGGAAACTAATGCTTAGAAAACGGGGCCGGGCACAGTGGCTCACACCTGAAATCCAAGCATGCTGGAGGCTAAGATAGGATCCCATGAGGCCAGGAGTTTGAGACCAGCCTGGAAAACATAGGGAGGCCTCACCTCTACAAATAAAATTTTAAACTAGCCAGGCATGGTTGTGCATACCTGTAGTCTCAGCCATTTGGGTGGCTGAGGCAGGAATTCAAAGCTGCAGTGAGCCATCATAGTACCACTGCACTCTTTACCTGGGCATAGAGTGAGACCCCTTCTCTAAGAAAAAGAAAAAAGAAAGACGGTGGGTCTGGAACCTTTGAAAAGAGTAGTTAAATATTTTCAGTGATGCAAAAATATTCACATTGGATGTTTACTTAGAGGGGAGCAGTTTGGAAATCCATAGGGTATTTTTGGTTGTTGACAATGAATTGGAAGATAACACCTGAAGTCCAATAGTGGCAGACACAATGCTGCACAAAAACCAAATTGTTCTCGATTCTAACCATCTTGACTATCCTGCCACATGGCTTATGTGGGTGAAAAGCCTGTTTGTATTCTTTCAGGTCTACAGCCTATTCCATTTTACATGTTGCTCTGATCTGAATGCTTGTGTCCCCCAGAATGCATATGTTGAAATTTAAACCACAGTTCAGTGGTGCTGGTAGGTCGATCATCTGGAAGGTCATTAGGTCATGAGGGCAGAGCTCTCGTGAACAGGATCAGTGCCCTTTAAAAAGAGGCCTGCCGGGCGCGGTGGCTCAAGCCTGTAATCCCAGCACTTTGGGAGGCCGAGGCGGGTGGATCACGAGGTCAGGAGATCGAGACCGTCCTGATCAATATGGTGAAACCCCGTCTCTACTAAAAATACAAAAAAAAGTAGCTGGGCATGGTGGCACATGCATGTAATCTGAGCTACTCAGGAGGCTGAGGCAGGAGAATTGCCTGAATCCAGGAGGCGGAGGTTCCGGTGAGCCGAGATCGCGCCATTGCACTCCAGCCTGGGTAACAAGAGCGAAACTCTGTCTCAAAAAAAAAAAAGAGGCCTGACGGCACTTGTTTTGCCCTCAAATCATGTGAGAACACAGCTGGAAACAGAACCAGCCTTCATCGGACACCGAATCTGCTGGTGCCTTGGATCTTGGACTTCCCAGCCTTCAGAACTGTGGGATGTGTGTGTGTGTAATTTATATATAATACAATAATTTTATGTATAGTTGTTTTTTTTTTCTTTTTTAGACAGGGTCTTGCTCTGTCACCTAGGCTGGAGTGCAGGGGCATGATCATGGTTCACTATAGCCTGACCTGCTGGGCTCAAGCAATCCTCCTGCCTCAGCCTCCAAAGTGGCTGGGACTACAAGGTGCATGCTACCACACCCAGCTCATTATTTTATTTGTTGTAGAGACAGGGTCTTACTATGTTGCCCGTGCTGGTCTCGAACTCCTGGGCTCAGGGTTCCTCCTGCTGAGGCTCCCCAAAGTGCTGGGATTACAGGCCAGGACTATGGGTGTGAGCCACTGTGCCCAGCCTTAACCTCCTTTAAAATGGGAACTGTGTTATTTGTTATAGTATTTCCAGATGTATACTTGGGTGAAAGGATTGCAGTGCAGTGGAACAATTACTGCAAAAGTAACAAAAGTTAACAGAACATTTGAGATACTTTTTAAGAGAATTAGAACTTCATTAAATTTCATCACTAGAATTCTTAAAAATATTTCATATTATTGCCATCTGTTTCAATTTGGGTCTCTCCAAAAGCAGACTCTAAGACAAAAGTTTTAGATACAAGTAGGAGATTCTCCTGGGGGTTATAAGCCCCGGGGCACTTTCAGCCTGCTCTATGCATGGGTCAAGCACACCCCTGTATCCAGAGAAAACCCTCAGGCAGAGGGACATGGGTGCTTATATGAGAATTGCCACTGAAGTGCTAGGTACTTCCAGGGTGGGCAAAGAGAATGTGGTTGAGACACCAGTAGCATCTACAAGTGAAAAGAAGGAAGTAAGGCTGAATTTCCTAATCTCCCTATTCACCTACCTCTGGTCCCTGGCAAGACATTTTTGTCACCATGCTTACATCAGAGTGTACTTATTCAAACCTGGAGGGTGTAGTCTACCTCACACCTGGGTTATATGGTATAGGCTGTTGTTCCCAGGCCATAAACCTGTACAACATGGGCCTGTACTGAATGCTGTAGGCAGTTGTAACACAATGGTAGGTATGTGTGTCTCTAAACACAGAAAAGGTACAGGAAAATTACAATATAAAAGATTTTAAATGGTCCACCTGCAGAGGGCACACACCGCGGACGGAGCTTGCAGGACTGGAAGTTGCTCTGGGCGAGTCGGCAACTGAGTGGTGAGTGAATGTGAAGGTCTAGGATGTTACTGTGCCTGGCTGTAGACTCTACAAATGCTGCACACTTAGGCTGGCCGCCCTCCCCCTCCACCATGCTCTATGATTCGCTGACACTCCTGTCACCGGGTATGTGTCTGGTTGTACCTTTCCCAGGTTGTGGGTGCAGCCTGACTGGACTTGCTCTCAGCTTTTACAGAGGCTGCTATAAGTGGAAAGAAGGAAGTGAGGCCGAATTGCCTAATCTCCTTATCCTCTTACCCCTGGACTCCACCTCCTTCCCCTCTACCCATCCCCCAGTATGGCCAAAGGATTTCCAAAAGTATTGTAAGACAAATTATGTTCCAGGAGAGTCTCAGAAAGTCTGCTGGCAGAGTCTCCTCTATATTGCTACAGTGATATCATTTATTTGTGGAAGCTGGTGTTGGTTAAGATGTTAAACTGAGATGATTGAGCTGATCTGCCAAATGTTTGTATCCTTCTGCCTGCTGGGAATGGAGTATTTGTTTAGAATGGAATTTATTCAGTAACGAGAACCCCACCAATATCCAAAAAGATACAAAATAATAACCTCTTGGGTTTTCTGAGCCAGCAGGATTAGGAGGGTTTGCCTGGTGCAAACACAACAAGGGGACAGAGTGGGACTCAGGTGGACCCTGCATGAGGAAGCCTGACTCCGAAGTCGGGGGAACGTGCACAGGGATGGTGGGACCCTGACACTGACCTTAGATAGTTCTGATGCCACGTGTCCATCTCGGTAGGTTTGCTTTAATGAACCACTGCCTTTGTGTGCCATCCATTCTTCCAACTAAAACCTGCCCACTATTGGGTGCAGCCCTGATCCCGGTACAGAGCTTCTTCTATTGTATTCCCTTGCAGTTGCTTTGTGCAATGGCCTTAACCAATTCTGTTCCATCAGCCACAAAACCAAAACATCTGCCCAATATTCTCTTGATTTGTTTATTCATTATTTGAAGTGAGTTTTGCAAACACCTTTCAGCCATTTCTACTCCAGACTAAATATTTCTGTAACTTTTCAACCCTTTGCTCATTTTAATGTTTTTGAATCCTCTCCAATTTTCCATATTATCTTTACATCATGGAGTTTAAATGGTATATGAGAGTCTACCTATAAAATAGAGGTATAGCATTCATTGGTCATTAACCTTTTGTGATAACAATTGACAGGATCTGGTCCCTGACTCTAGACTTCTAAAGGAAAGGAAAAGAGACCCTAACATCTGCTAATTAACCCACAGGTTGAATTGAGAAGGAAAAAAAATCCACCTGAATTATTAAGATAAAAGGTGTCATTTAAATAGTTTTCTGGGTCTCTGCTTTTCCTATTCGATAGACAGCCTCATTTTCTCGCACAGTGCCAGCTGCATCCCTGAGACACCATGGTGAAGGTGAAGGCCAGAATAAACAGATTTGGTCATATTGGGGGCCTGGTCACCAGGGCTGCTTTTAACTCTGGCAAAGTGGATATTGTCACCATCAGTGATCTCAATGGCATGGCCTACATGTTCCAGTATGATTCCGCCCATCTCAAGTTCCACAGCACCATCAAGGCTGAGAATGTGAAGCCTGTCATCAGTGACAATGCCATCACCATCTTGCAGGAGTGAGATCCCACCCAAATCAAGTGGGGTCATTCCAGCACTGATTACATTGTGGTGTCCATCAGCACCTTTGCCATCATGGAGAAGGCTGGGGATCACTTAGTTGGGGGAGCCAAAAGGATCATTGTCACTGCCCCCTCTGCTGATGCCCCCATGTATGTGATGGGTGGAACCTCTAAGAAGTACTGCCCACAGTAAGTGCTTGCTACTATTAATATCATCATTTTGGTAATCATACTCTGATCATTGGCAAAGAAGAAAAGTCAGTTCTGAAAATCAAGTCTGTCTGTTTCTGCCAGAACACTGATGAGACCGTTTGTTCCTAAGGTAGCAATTAGTAATAAAGAACCAGAACAGTGTGATCATCCAAGAAGGCAGCTTTTGGCTTAGCTCTGTCAGGATCCCAAGTCTCCAGGGAGTCGAGCTACTCTCCATAGCATTCCCAGGGGGTGATAAAACAGAGGAGAAGAACTCATTCTCCCATATTCTCCTTCCTCTAGCATCCACCGTTGGCCTGATTATCACTGCAGCATCCCTCACTGGCCTGAGGTCCAAATGGGGGCTGGCACACTCAGATGTCCACAGGCACCTTCAAGGAGGGAAGCAGGCTGGTGCAAACGATCAACACATCACTTCACTTTTGCAAAATACATGATTTGCAGTGAATCCCGAGAATTAAGTACTCAGACAATTCCAGCTGAGTGGGGATGGGGGTAGCTCTTCTGAGAGAGTTCGCCACAGCATCTGACCGCCAATATTTATTAAAAGGGTTTGTAGTAACTTCAAACATCCAGTAGATGGCCATTTGAGGTCAGGTACTGAGGCACCTGTGACCTTGTACAACATGCAAATCGCATTCTTGGGAGGCTGTTTTCAGCGTTCCTTATCACAGCACACACTCCACTCCCTGTCCTGTTTTCAGGGTCAAGGAGTTTCATTCTCATGCACAAATAACATACATACAGGGCCTCAGTATTTTTCCATGCCCCCACCTCAAATGGCTTGTACATAAGCTTGAATATGTTGCCATGCACCCCCATCAGTTTTCATGTTCGTCACATAGTAATAGTCTCCACCTGCACAACTAAAGGTGTGCTGTCTCCCAGATTCTAGAAACATAGGCTCCCTTGATTTTTTTTGAGACAAACTCTTGATCTGTTGCCCAGGCTGGTGTGCAGCGGCACAATCTTGACTTACTGCAACCGCTGCCCCCCAGGTTTAAGCAATTCTCCTGCCTCAACCTACCTAATAGCTGGGATTACAGGCATGTGCTACCATGCCTGGCTAATTTTTGTATTTTTAGTAGAAACAGAGTTTCACCATGTTGGTCGGGCTGGTCTTGAACTCCTGACCTCAAGTGATCCACCCATCTCAGCCTCCCAAAGTGCTGGGATTATAGACCTGAGCCACCATACCTGTCCCTGGCTCATTTGATTTATCTTGCGTTTTCCCACTTTTGATAGTGACACAGATACAGAGAACAGGTTTGTATAACACTTCAACAGTACAGACATGGTCATGATGGCTCCTAAAGTGTTAGGAGCGGCAGGGAAGAGTGGAGGCTGTGCGGATCTGATGGGCACATAACTGTCCCTGGAGTTGGGTCACATCTGAGCCCTATGCTGGCACACAGGGCACGGATGGATGGAGGAAGGCAGCCCAGTATGTGGATTGTGCTGAAGAACCTCCCAATTGTTCAGTGCTGGCTCCTGTGGATACATGCATAGGCTGATCAAAACAATGCCACGGGAAGGCTTGCAGCAGACAAATAGACACACATCGACTCCGTAAGCCACCGTAAGCAACAATTCTTTATAACTCTGAGCAGTTATTTTCCTGCTTCTGCCTTCCAAATAGCTGGGATTACAGGCATGCACCACCACACCTGGCTAATTTTTGTATTTTTAGTAGAGGCAGAGTTGCACCATGTTGGTCAAGCTGGTCTTGAACCCCTGACCTCAGGCAATCCACTCACCTCGGCCTCCCAAAGTGCTGGGATTATAGGTGTGAGCCACCGCACCCAGCTGTAATTCTTAAGACAGTGTTCAAACTTCAGGGTGCACAAGAACCTTCTGAGACATTTGTTTAGAGTGCAGTCCTGGGCTCATTACCTGAGATTCTGAAGGGAGGCCCAGGAGTCTACATTTAAAAATTTTTGTCTACATAAAAAAGTTTTTTTTAATAGGTTATATGCTTTATTTTTAAAATGGTTTTAGATTTACAGAAAAATTGAGAGGACAGTACAAAGATTTTTCCACAAACCCCACACCCAGTTTCCCCTTTTATTAACATCTTACATTAGTATGGTATATTTGTGATAATTAAGGAACCAGTATTGATCTACTATTCCTTTTTTTTTTTTTTTTTTTGAGATGGAGTCTCTATCACTCAGGCCTAGAGTGCCGTGGCCTCCATCTCGCAGGTTCAAGTGATTCTTCTGTCTTAGCCTCCCAAGTAGCTTGAATTACAGGTGTGGATCAAACCCCCAGCTATTAATTTTTAGTAGAAATGGGGTTTCACCATGTTGCCCAGGCTGATTTCTAACTCCTGACCTCAGGTGACCCACCTGCCTTGGCCTCCCAAAGTGTTGGGATTACAGGCGTGAGCCACCGTGCCCACTGAGCCAGTGATCTATTATTCTTAAACAAATTCTGTATTTTATTCAGATCTCTTTAGCTTTTACCTAATGTCCTTTTTCTGCTCCAGGATCTCATAGAAAATCCCACAGTGCATTTAATTGTCACAGCTCCTTAGGCTCCTCATGGCTGTGATAGTTTCTAAGACTTTGTTTTCTGTGACCTTGAGGTTTTGAAGAATACTGGTCAAAAATGTTATGGATGTCCCCTGTTGGAATCTCATGATTTCCTAATAAGATTGGGATAATGGGTTTTTGGAATTAAGATCACAGAGGTAAAGTGGTGTTTACATCACATCACATCAAGGGTACACACTATCAACCCAACATCACCCTCCCGCCATTGACCTTGATCACCTGGTTGAGGTGTCTGTCAGATTTCTTTTCTGTAAAAATCACTCCCAGCCTTTCTTTCCATCTGTAGTTGCTGGAAGGAAGTTTTAACATGCAGCCACACTGATAGAGTGGGGACTTGCTCTCCAGCTCCATGAGGACAGAGTATCCAAAGAAATTAGTTAGAATTCTTCTTCATTGGAGGTTTCTTTCTTCTCCTGCATTTATTTATTCAACCATTTATTTATATCAGTATGGACTCACAGTTATTGATTTTATGCTTTGGGTTGTAAGCCAATACTACTTTGTATGGTTTCTCAGATTGTTCCGATGTTGGCCCCTGGGAGCTCTTTCCATTTCTACGTCCCTTGGATGTCTCCCATCAACGTGGGTTTT